GTGTGTGTGTGTGTGTGTGTGTGTGTGTGTGTGTGTGTGTGTGTGTGAGAGAGAGAGAGAGAGAGAAAGAAATTAACATACTTCTACGACTGCGGTAAGTAAAAATTTTATTTTCTAAAAGTTTAGAAATTGTGTTAAATTTTACGCATAACAATGTATAAACTTGTAAGGAAAGAAATGTTTTGTCGAAAAGTTTTAAGTTCATTTAATGGCTGGCTGGGCTAGGCTGGGCTGGGCAAAACTGAGCTAAGTTAAAAGCGTAGTGAGTTACTTGGTTGGTTGGTTAGTTGCTTGTGTGCTTGTCGATCGTGTTTTGTCTTTTTATACCCATCACCAAAGGATGCGGGGTATATTCATTTTGTCAAAACTTCCGCAATGCTCAGAAGGAAGGGTCACCGTCCTCACAAAGTATATATATTCTTGACCACCATCAAATCCTTAGTCGGTCCAAGACTGTCCGTCTGTCCGTTTGTACGTCTGTATAATGTCTGTTATAAATATAATCTTGGTTGCAAAATTCAAGCTATCGAATTCAAATTTGGCACAAACGTTAACAGTTCCCTCAGGCAGGTTTGAATTGAAAATGGGGCACGTCGGTCGAGGGACACGCTCACAGCGTCACGTAAAGGGAAAACAACTCTGTCTGTCAGGAATTAAAAATTAGTTGGAAACTACAGAAAATAAATGTACAAACATTTGAATAGATATTCGCTTGGCGATGCTGTAACAATCGTGCACAGAAATGGAAAAAATTGACTACGCCTACCCAATATTATAGTGTATCAAACTTTAATTATTTTTTCAATACCTTTATAACGCGCAGAAGCAAACTTCAAAAACCCCGTAAAGTGTACAAATTCTTGTCCAGTCTCAAATTTAGAATGCGCCTAAACGTGTCGTTCTGACCATCTGTCTCTTTGCGCAACTTTGTAGTATTTCTGGAAAGTGTTCTCTCGCTAGCGTAAATGAAGATGTTGCCTACAAATTTATAAAACAGTTTGGAATTGATCCAAGCTTTTCAAAGGACACGCCTACAATGCCCACATTCCCATACGATAAAAACTTTTTTATTGAAATACTTTTATTGGAATATTATTTTTTGGAATATAACAGAAATCAGCTGCGCCAACTCCGTATTATAGACCATGAAAATTTTGTTCTTTTACTTCTCTTGTCTGTTTTAGGATAACGGTGATGGGTATAAAAGATTCGGTCTCCACTGAATTTAGCTTTTTTGCTTGTGATTGTTTAAAACCATTTGAAGTGATAATAGCACAAAGTTGTAAAATTCTATTCGTTTTCGGTTACTCTGTATGCAAACTTCCTTAACTGCCAAGAAATTCTTCAAGTTGATGATTTTTATTATGATAATGCTGTTGATTCCCTTTAGATAGTAGAGCTTAAATCGTACGTAAGTGTAACATGAGAAACGTCATGATGTCTACGATGTTCTACGATTACGTAATTTTCAAATGTGCTAACGAACTTACTAATTTGCCATACAAACGGACTTTACGTACGCAGATGCATTTCAGAAGCTGGCTGCTGTGGCTACTCAGATAGAAACAGCTTTTGTTAAAGAAGTAACGGGGGTTTTTGTAAAAACTTATCACTCATTTAGAAGAAAAGTTAAGTGAAAATTGAAAAATTTTAAAATTGTAAAGATAAATTAAAAAAACTAGAAATTATTTTAAAACTATTTTTGGAATTATAGTAAATATTTTTATATATATCTTCTATTATTATTATTATCATTATTATTATTATAAATTTAGCCAGAGGGTAAATTCTAAGATTAAAGTCTTAAAGCACTAGCATCTAAGGCTTTCGGCTTTATTAAAACCTCTACCGCACTTCATTTCAGAATGTGAAAAGTGATTTGCAGCAAATTATAAAAAGTTTCTTTCATTACGTAAACGTGAAAACGTTTTAATGGATACAAAAGTGTTGAAAAACAAGTCGACCCAAAAACGAAAAACTAGAATAAAGAATAGTAGCTTGAATAGTTAGGAATAAATTGGAGGTAGACGGGAATAATTATCACATAAAGAAATTGACTCTTTTGCATGCTTTTTTATGATAAATATACTCTCCGAGTTTTTAGTATGTAGTGAAATACACTTTTTGTTTAATAATACTTTTTATTTTTATTTAAAGAGTATGTAATATGCCACAACTTTGGCTTATCTCTGACCTAACTCTACAGTGATCAGTGCCTTATATAGTAAGTAACTTGTTGTATAATGTGAGAAAATATGTGAAACTGGATCCACAATCTTTTCGTGTGAAGATGTCAGAAAATAGATACTTAGCGTAATTGAGGTGTGAGAAAATACAAATAGGTACACTTAGCATAATATGTGAGAAAATACAAAAGTGTTAACTTAGCATAATATTAGTAAATGGGTAGAATGCGATTAGCAGAATATGCTACACCTTTCCTCTTGGGAAGATTGATCTTTAGCAATAAATGATCATTCGAGGGTTTATTAATTTTCAATGTTATAATAATTTTTTTTTTTTTGTATAATGTTTTGCGTGGGGTTCATATAAATGCTTGTATATAATAAAAAATATTTATTTTTTTTTGTTTATTTGTTTGTGTAGGCGCCTTACACTTAAACATTTTTTTTTTTTTTTTTGCTTATTTATGTAGATTCTTTATATAGTTTTAACCTATTTTTGTGTATTATTTGATTTTTGTTTTTGTTGTCCTTAATTTTAATGTTGTTGTTATTCATAATTTCTACAACCTTGTACGAGCCTAAATACTTATTTTGTAATTTATGCCCTACTTCATTTTTTAGTAATACCAAAGTACCTATTTCTAGTGGGAAATTGTTGGTTTTTTTGTCGTAATTTCTTTTTTGCTTTTCTGTTTCCTTATCTAATAGTCTTCTGACGCTCGCATATGCTACATCTAATCTGTGTTTAGTCTCTTTAGCGTAATCGTCCATATTGTATAGAGGCTCAATATTTTTGTTAGGATTTGTTAGTTGTGTTGGTGGCCTTGCAAACACTAGTTCGTAGGGACAGTATTTATGTGTTGTGGAAGGTGTTGTGTTGAAACGAAAGTGTTAACTTAGTATAGTATTAGTAAATGGGTAGAATGCGATTAGTAGAATATGCTACAAGTATTTCTGTTACTAATTTCTTTATTCGAAAATTCCGGCCAGTATATGTCGATAATGAAAGTTGTGCTTCTGTCGCACTTATTACAGCACAAACACTGTGTAAATGATGCATAGTTTCTGAAAGTAACTACGCCAGTGGTAAACGGGACATATGTACTTGTTTGTATGTTTTATGAAAGTTAAGCCGCGCTTGCAATGCAAATTCTGTATGATGTCTATATCCTTTTTGCTCAATTCTTTATATGAATTCTACGTACAGACCGTGACGTAATCTACCACATTACTAATAAAAATGTCTAGCACGTTTATATATGCACTTTAGTCATAATGGGAAATTCCGCAAATGTGTTGA